ATGCTTAAGCTAAATCGAGATAAGAAATCAAGCAATCATTTTGTTGGGTTTTTGATGCTTTCAATAGGAGCGGTTTTAAAGTGTCCAAAATGAATTATTTTTAGCGATGGATAATTTGGCACATCGGTTATGAAGATGGATTTGTGTCCGATGCTTTATGGGCATTTGAATCCAAAGAAACGGGAGACTACCATGAAGAAATGGATGGAGCCTCGTTCGAAAATTGGTTCTCAACACTCTTCCGAAGCTTGAAGATAACTCGGTTATAGTATTAGATAATGCATCATTCCACACGAGAAAAATAGAGAAAATTCCAACAACGTCAACAAAAAAATCAGAAATTCAAGGATGGCTTAAAAATATAAAGATTGATTATGATGATACAACGGTTAAGGCAGAATTGTTACAAATTGTCATGACGCATAAAAATAAATATAACCTGAACATAATTGATGAAATGGCCAAAAAACAAAATAAAACTGTTTTACGACTGCCTCCTTACCATTGTGAGCTCAATCCGATTGAGCTCATTTGGGCAGACATAAAAAAATATGTTGCAGCAGAAAATAAATGTTTTGAATTTACTGACCTCAAAAATATTTTTCATGATGCCATACAAAGAATAACACCGAATAAGTGGGAAAATGTATCAGCATGTAAAAGAAAAGGTCGAACCTAACATGTGGGAATTATACGGTATCATTGATACTCAAGTTGCCCCTTCAATCATAAATCTTGATAACAGTGGGAGTTCTACGGCGTCAGATCTAGAGTGATCTTCATTTTCAAATACATATATGTATTTCTGGTTTTAGAGGTAAAATGTATGTGCAATAAACTTTTGTATAATATTCAGTATATATTATGTATTCAAATCCTTTTTCTTTCAACTCCACCTAACTATTCATTGTTTAGCCTAATATTAAAATTAACTGTTTGCACACTGACGTTCCTGTTCAAACGGTGGTTAGGTATACTTGTATGCATATGCAATTATCGTATTAATGTGTCAAGACATTTGTTAAAAGCCTGCTTTATAAATGCGCCTTACGACAGTATAATTTCTTGGTAAAACACTTCTACTAAAAACAACAATAGACAGTTGTTTTCTTTTTGGTCATGACAGTTAAATTAAAAAAATACATTAATTCCAAGCTTTACGTTTGGACCCTATACATGTCTGCAATAATTTTGCATACTTTTTAATGGTGTCGTAGAACCACAAATGATTTATTCTTAGTACGGCCCTATAACGGGCTCGCCGTTCTGGAGCGCGATCACGTGGAGTATACGTGAATATGTTTAGGTTCGGTCTTTCTTCGATAGATGCATAATAGGAGGCGAATACAACAGCAGAAACTCGAAAGACAAGGTTAAGAACGTCGCTAAAAGTGACAGACTAGCAAAAGTAGCCTCAAAATCATTACACAGACAGTTCTTCCGACAACTTTGGAGAGTAGAGGTACATAAACGTGGAAGTATGAGTTGGTTGAGAAGCTCTATATTTAAAGCTCTAATAGTGTCCGCAAAAGATCAAGGGTTAAGCACAAGGTATCACCAAAAGAATATACTGAAGCAAAATGTAGACAGTAAATGCAGGTTATGCGGGCAGTCCGACGAACACATCAGCCATATAGTAGCAGGTTGCCAAGTACTAGCACCCTGAGAAAATATAGCTAACAAAGTAGCTACAAGTTCCGTCAGAAAAAACGCATGTTTTTTAAATGAGTTGTACAGTCAAAATAAGTATGGGAAAAAATATTTTATTATATCAAAATACTCAGAAATACATGCAATTTTTTTGAGTAAAACAATTTTTCTAAAAACTATGTCGGTCATATGGCGCCCTTGAGCTGAAATACAGGAATCAAGCCTCTCCCGCAATTATCCCATTGCGACGGCCAGCATCCGTGCAGGAATTTGGGTTACTTCTCTTCTTATTCCCTCCTTCAAATCGATGAGGGTCCGAGGCTTGCTTTGGTAAACTTTTGATTTCAAATAGCCCCATAAAAAAATCACACGTTGCCAGATCCGGGGAGCGAGGGGGCTATGGAATATCGCCATGACGTGAAATGAGATGTACTGGGAATGTTTTCCGAAGAAGTTCCATCGAAGTGCGAGCTGTGTGAGATGTTGCCCCGCCTTTTTGGAACCACACTGCTCTGAGACGTACACGTCGACGTCGAAGTTCCGGAAAAACAGTTGTTCAGCATGTGGATGTAACGCTATGGATTCACAATAGTTGTTTCTCCATCATCCTCAAAAAAATAAGGGCCAATAATCGTCGTTGGGCCTACTGCACACCAAACGGTAACTTTCGGGGTATGCAGGGGGTGCTCATGCAATTGTTGGGGGTTCACTGGAGACCAATATCGACAATTTTGTTTATTGACGTATCCATTTAAATGAAAATGTGCTTCATCACTCATAAACAACGTCATGTCATTATTATCCAACTGTTCAATCATGAGCTGTGCAAAATTAACACGTTGTGCAGAATCCCCTGGCAACAGTTATTGACAAACTTGGATTTTGTAAGGATGTAACAATAAATCCTTCTTCAAGATGCGATGTACGGAGGACGCGTGGATCCCTAGGGAACTGGTAGGCAAACGGACGGAACGATTCGGGCTTTGCAGCGTGCCAACTCTCGCTCTGTCTAGGTTTTCGGGTGTTCTAACAGTACGGTTTCGCCCTGGCGGCTTTTTCTTCATCACATTACCTGTTGTGTCGATGCTACCACCCATCTCAAAATGGTGTTACGGTCTGGTGCTGTCCCACGACGTGGAACACGAAAGTGTACGCGAACGACAGACTCGTCATTTTGAAAGTACCGATGTACACTGAACTCACGATGCTCAACGTTCCAAACCATCTTACCAACTGAAACGGCTCTTCTCCCACTATCCAACACGCCCTTTCCCACCGACATGGGATCAGCCCACTCGATGTTGCACCCATTCGAAAAACATGCGTTCTTTCTGACGGACCCTTGTTACGTTCACTGGAAAATATGTGATTTGTGTGGTATTCGAGTTACAGACAAGTATACTAAGTGACATATAAATCCGAACATCCAGTTTAAATGGTTTTATTTTAATAAAAGTTGGTGAATGTATTTATCTTACTGTAAATAACAAGTGAAAAAATTTTCAGCCTTATCAGTTGGACATTCCGTTTTTTATACTGCTTTTTTTAATTTACTAACGCTCTAAAAATGAATATTTCAGCCGCAGTAAAGAATCAACTTGGCGGATTTTGGTTCTTGACATCCTTTACGATCGGTTACGATGCCTAGAGTACGGAGACCTGTACGATTTCGTCAACTTAGTGAGTTTGATAGGGGCCGTATAGTGGGACTTCGGGAAGCTGTACTTTCTTTTCGAGCAATTGCAGTTAGAGTGCAAAGAAGTGTAGACACTGTGGTTAGGTGTTGTCAGGCATGGCTTCGAGAAGGCCGTACGCAAAGAGCAAGGGGCACTGGACGCCGCCGTAGAACAACAGACCGTGAAGATCGCCGCCTAAGATTACTATTGGCCTTAAGGGACCGTTTCTCCACTACCAGGTCCATTGCAAATGAATGGTTTACAGAACACGGAAGACCTATTGGCATGCGAAGTGTTTACCGACGAATAAGAAGTTTTGGCTTGTTTTCATACCGGCCACACTGGGTCCTCCCTTTAACTCCGACGTAATCGCCTTGAGTGGTGCAGACAACGGTCACTCTGGGATCAGGAATGGAACAGTATTTTCTTTAGTGACGAGTCTCGATTTTGTTTAGGCATGCACAATGGTCGTGCCAGGGTTAGAAGGCGACGTGGTGATAGGAGGAATCCACAGTTTTTTGTTGAAAGATATGTTCATCACACTGTTGGAGTTATGGTTTGGGGTGATATAGCTTATGGTTCCAGGTCACCTTTAATCTTCATCAGAGGTAACATGAACGCGCAGCGTTATATCCACGAAGTTCTAGAACCCCATCTTTTACCCTATCTTGACACCCTGGCAGATCCAACTTTCCAACAAGATAATGCCCGACCACATGTTGCAAGAGTCACAATAGACTTCTTTCAACATAATGATGTCACATTGTTACCATGGCCACCAAGATCTCCCGACTTATCCCCAATTGAGCACGTGTGGGATATGATGGGTAGGAGATTGCTCAATTTGCAACGTCCTCCTCAGACTCTAGAAGCACTTCGAGAGGAGTTGGTGGTTGCCTGGAATGAGATACCACAGGAGGACATTTACCACCAGATCAGAAGCATACCTAGGCGCGTTGGAGAATGCGTAGCACATCAGGGTGCATCCATATATTATTAAAGGTCAAAGGGCTTTAAAGCAGTGCAATCATTTTGAAATTTTTATCATTTACTTATTATGCTTCATTAAGTACTTATACAAAATTTTATTAAAATAAAACCATTTAAACTGGGTGTTCGGATTTATATGTCACTTAGTATATTACCAGCATGAAGTACAGAGTGTCACCAACATCAAGAATGAAACCACTGGATCGGACAATAAAAGCAAAGCGTCCTGACGTTATAATTCAGAACAAAAAGGTGAAAACATGTCAACTGATTGATATAGCGGTTCCCGATGACTCCAGTGTAACATCGAAAGAAAATGAAAAGATATCCAAGTATCGAGATCTCCAGATCGAGGATGTGGCATGTGAAAGCTTGGATAAGTCCTGTCGTTTTCGGTGCATTAGGAACTATCACCAAAACCTTCCATGAAAATTGTAACTCAATGCCCGGTAAATCAGGACTACCAAATTCAAAAAACGGCACTACTAGGAACAGCGCATATACTAAGGAAGGGTTGGTATCTGATCTATCGTTTATTACAGATACGTATGTGAAAGAAAATAATAATAAACAAATTTATTTACAATTAGAACCAGTAATTAATTACAGTAACTGATTCAAGTAATAAATATAATTGCAAAAAGAAGCAGCATACAGAAAGAAATGATACAAGTGCTGACCCAAATGAGACAAAAATAATGCTGTGAGGATTATAAGCAAAGTTACTTGAGGCAAAAAATATAAATGGTTGAGATTAAATAGTGTAGAGGAAGAACAGAAAAACAGTGACGGATGATATTACTTCTGCGACATTAATTGTTGAAGGTTTATGATAATGCTAATTAATATATGCGTATATCATTTCATTTTTCAGCTTGTAGTAGATACTTTTTATAGTTAGTTGTCTTTGAATGATTTTGAAGATAGGTTCTTAAAACTATATATATTTTACAACTACATGATCTCTCAAATATAGAGGTTCGATGTAGAGAGGGAGAGATACGGAACTTACTGCGAATATTTAAATTTTGGACGTTATCTCTAAATTTTATCCTATTCTCTAAATGTTGAGGCGTTTTGGTAGAAACAATTTTATGGAATCATGTTTCCGAATGATGTCTTCTGCTGGAAGCCATATTGAGCCAATTAACTTCCTCTAGCTTTTGTGATACCCTGTCAAACTTGCGGATGCTGAACATGAACCTGAGACTTTTGGATTTTCTGAATTCGTCCACAATCCATTTGCGTTAAACAGGACCCATACACGACATCGCAGTAATTGAATGGGGACAAAACTAGAAGATCACTGAGAATAATATTTAATCTAACTGGCAGACTATGGCGGTGTGGGAACAAAAACTTCTATCAAACAAATGCCTTTTGGATGCATTTTTTACGTGATCAGATAATATTAATTCGTTCTCCATTACCAAACCTGAGTTCCTTGCCACGTCGACGTTCTTAATTGTATTGTTACCCATTCTGACAGTAAATTTATCTTGCATGTAGTTTTTTGTTTACCAAATATCATAACAGCAGATTTATATGGGTTAATGGTAAGTTGATGTGACAGAGATTCAGAGTGAAGTCTAAACTAGTTTTATATTAAGCTCATCATTTGCAGCAGCTGACCTGAGGTGGTCAAAAGGAAATTTTAATTGTGTATCATCTCCATACAAATGAGGGGCACATTTATTTAAAACTTTAGTTATATTAGAAGAATATATTTGGAAAAGTATAGGGCCCTAAAATGAACCTTGTTGTGTCAGGTTTCAAATACATGATGAATTTCATCGATCACTTAATTGTTTTTTCTTTTTGCCAGCTTTTTGGTTGTTCTAGACCACTGTGAGCCGGAAGGATAGATCGCAACGTTGTCCAATACGTGGAGACATGTTCTTAGCCAACCTGTGGTGTGGTCTCAACGTTCGGTCCAAGACTTTCTGAGTGAAACTGAAGATTTTAATTTTATTTTACCCAATTTAAAAATTAAACTAATGACATAACAGAAACCTATTCTATATCATAAATAGACATCTTCCTCTCTTGGTTGCTATATGCGGTCTTCACAGAAGACTTCCTCCTCTCCAGTTCGTAACTAAGCAATGGGCGTTCGTCTTCTCTTTCAAAAATGTTGATTGAAGTGTTGAGATCCATTTCGCTCTTGCATAGCTTCATCTTTGCTTCGTCATCGAAAACCTGTCTTAAAACTTCCTTTACTTTTGGGTTCACGTTGATCAAACGCATTTCTGAGTCGTCCTGATTGTAGTTGTTCAGAAGGCTCTCAAATGTCTGGAATAGTCAAAAATTCCTCGAATATTATCATCGTCAACAATAATGCTAAACTTTCACAAGCCTCACACATTTGACTCGATTTGAGCTTTAAAGGCGACCTTATGCCATATTCTAACTTATTGTTGGAATTTTCCATACTTTTGATTTCCGGTTTCCATATGTAAAACAAAAATTGGCGTTGAAATAACCTAAAGTGACATTTAACTTCAAATCCACCATTGAACTCGTTGTTCAAAGCTATTCACCCAGATAGGATAGAAAGTCATAAAGACGTGCATTTTGTGCACTGATAATGTCTGAATGCCTGAGACATTAAAAAGACGTTTTCGAGATAACTTGGGTACGACGTTTCACGAACATACCGACATCACATATAACAAACATCTTTAAAAAGTTTTCGTATGTCTTAAAAATTTAGAAATATTAGTGAACATACGAGGAACCCAAATGCCGAACACCCAACTTAACACTAAAGTTTAACATATACTCTTGTTTACACCACCACGGTTGAAAATATCCAATTTATTTTTAACACTCTTTTGAGATTCATATATTTTTAAAGCAATTTCAATTTTAAACTTTGCAAGAAATCAAATCGTTGAAATTTTTAAATATCTGAATTTTTAAAACACGATTGCCCTTTTCCAGAATCACTTAAAGGTATCTGGCAAAAGTTTCTTGGTTGCCTTCTGTTTTCTAGTTGTTTCCTTTGGAAAACAGTACTGTGATTTTTGGTCTTCTTCGCCCCTGTCCGCTTGTTAATATTAGATATATATTCTCTGTCTTTAAATGTAAGTGTGTAGGTCTTAAACTGAAAGTAATTTGAACAAAATGCTGCCGGCGTCTTTCAAGAGTATATAACTTGCACGACAACAACTCTTTTAGTGAATGTCTACAATCCACGAGCCAGGCGGTTTTGACCACTGCGGCAAGCAAGATATTTGTTTAGTTTGGTTTGCTTTTAGAGGCTTTTTAATTAAGCAACAGAACACACCGCACGCTTTTGCTAACGCGCTTTTGCTGAACTGACGTAACCTTCCGTATTCGAAGAGATGCCGCGGTTGGTGAGCGTTGTATTTTACTGTTCTCTTTCTTTTACAAAAATACCTGACTTGGGAAAATACAGTCGTTCAATTACTATTGTTATACCCTGTATATACCAACGTAATATTAGGACGACTATTACGTTTGTTATGAATTTTTAACGTGATGCTGCGCACCATGATGAAATGCTTCAAGCATTAGCATGGTTGGATGAGAAGCGGATGACAAAAGGATCTTAGTAAGTATGCCGCATTTAGTGATGTGATTTCTAATTCATTTCGGTGAACTAATTCAATAGGTCGTTTTCACTTATATGAAGTAGTTCTAGGAACTGGTTCGCGAACGAAGTTTTTTACGAATAACATAGCGCGTTATTATGCCAATGAAAACACTGATTGGCGGAGCTAAATAAGTCGGACTCGGTTAGTATTTATGTGGATAACCGCTTCGGAACACCTCATATTGTTGAATTTTCGTGTTTTTTTTTTGTTAAGATGGGTGTTTCAAACTTAAATACTCCACGTAATCTGTCGCTCACATAAGAGAGGTAGTGATGGGATATACACGTTTTCTAGCTATCTCAAATAATGTTGTCCACTTTTGTTTTTTGTTTTCCAAGCACTTAAAAAAGTCCGCCAGCTGTGTCATGCGAGCAGCCTTTTTCGAAGACTGGGGCAGGTTTTGTCAGAATAAATAGACTAGATAAAGTTCAAAAACTAATACTTTTTAATGGAAATTTGTAGTTAATTTACATTTCCATTTTAGTATTGTGTATACTTTCTTCATTATCCACAATGGGTGATATTTTTTATACAACTAAGCTAGCTTTTATTTCTTTAACTAAACAGCTTTTCTTTTTTAGTAACCCCATTTTTGTCCAGAGTATTCTTTTATTTAAAAAAATATATTTTGTGTTTCACTAGACGTTTCAGATGTACTAGCGCTAACCATTATTATTATATTATTGCGTGATGTGAACAGGGTTTTTTTCAATGGGATGGCTTCCACCAATTTGAAAAACTGCAACAAGATGCAACCAACTGAAGGAGAAAGGATGATGATTCTCTTCTGTTTCGCTGAGGGTCAAAATCCCATAAAAAAGAAATGTAAGACATAGCACCCAAACCAAAATGACTAAACTTAAGTTAAGCAAAAAAGGGTGCTAGTCCATGAATTGGCGCCTGGGGCCTAATATCCCACAGTCCGAAAAATGACGAAACGACCCCTGCACCACTGCGTCAATAGAAACAGAAGAGAATCACGCAGACACGTAACGTTCTAGAAGAAGGTATCTTCAGTGGCCTTGAAGAAGATATGTTTTATAGGAAACCAACTAACGGAGAAAAACTACAGAGTTTTTTGCTGATCGTCAACACCATACTGAATCGCTGAGAAAGAAAGATAATACGAGTGAAATTATACAAACAATAAACTATTAAATTTGCCAAAAGAAAATCATTGAAAGGGATTTGGCCTAGGAATGGACACTCTATTCTCAATGAAGAGAAATTCAAATTACGGATAAGTGATAAATAGTAAAAAAAAGTTACGTGATTTTGGCACGTGACAAAGATCGAACTCGATGACAAAGCATATTGTTCAATATTAAGCCATATTTCCGTTCCGTAGTTATAGTCTAATCATATTAGCAAAGTTCCCCTGAATATTTGTAAAGTCTGGTTTTATTGATGCAATTTCTTCAAGGGGGTATTTAAAATATGGACGCATAAAATGGGTACACCATTTTTTGTGGGAAAACTTTTTATTCGACAACAAAGAATGAGAAAACGCGTTTTTTGGGATTCAATCGAAAGTGTTGACAGGAACGAAAAAACTCGTTATTTAAGAATTTTAGGCATTTATGGGACCTACAAAATGAGATCACACGTAAAAGGCACCTACTAATAGTAAAAAGTTATGGCTGAAAACCGAGGCATACTTCTAAATAACCACAACAAAATTGGAGCCTGTCTTCCAGCCATTCCTACTAGCTTACTGAGCAATATACAGGGTCCGTTCAAAGGACATTTTATAGCAAAATACACGAGTTTACCTTGCCGACATGAGTCACAAGCCATTTCTTTCGGCAATCGTTAATCCTTCCCATTACGCTACGACGCCTCTTGGTTTACTGGATCTTTATACCACTAAACACTGACAAATGACATGCGAACGTGGAGGCATACCAAATATGTTATAAACAATTACATTACTCTTGAAAACTATACAAGATACAATGCTGAATCCGTAGACAATGTATAAGGGATTAATAACGAGCATTTTGCCTATTTTTGAAGACGGTCAGTTCGCTAGAATTGGTTGATATTTGTCTACTGTTTTTTCGTTTTCTCGAGTTTATTTCACATTTTGAACTCGCAGTCGTTTTACGTATGTTATAGTGACACTTTTAGAAAAAAAAGTTATCAGTCATCAATAATAGTCTAAGACAGTTTGAAACATAATTGTGTCTTCAGTTTGCGTGCTAACTTTATAAAAAGTTCAGCGCATATCAGTATGAAAGATTCTTTTTTATAAGCTTTAAGGCTCATCTGTGACTGTGTAAAAATTTCAGCAATGAATATGTATACCTACACGTATGAAGGAATCTTGAAAATTTTTTTTTATCTTTTAGTGGGATCTTTTTACGTGTAGTCTCATTCTGTAGGTCTGATAAAGACCTAAAAACCTCATTTAAACAGTTTTTTCGTTCCTGCCAACATTTTCGATTGAAGCCCAAAAAAACACGTTTACCTACTCATTCTTTGTTGTCGAATAAAAAGTTTTCCCTCAAAAATTGGTGTACCCATTTTATGTGTCCATGTTTTAAATACCCCCTTGAACAACTTGCATTTTCGTCTAATATGATTTACGAGTATTAGACTATAGGTAGTAGGTAGCTATCAAGCATTATATTATTATCTCTATATTCCAGCAAAGCGTGGCAATTCAGTTCGGTATAGTTGAGCTATGCCGCGATCGATCCGGGCAACTAGTTATAACGGGTTGTTTAATAGGGACGCAGGAAAGTGAACGTCAATTTGACATAGACGCCATCTTTGTTTTCTATCACCGACATGTCATTTTGTTAGTTGAATGTTTGCCATTGATCGCTATGGAGTCGTATTCGATTGAAGACCGCATTAAAGTTATTCAAGAGTACTACAAAAATGGTGCAAAAATAAAAAACACGTTTCGCGCGCTTCGTGAACATTTCGGTCGCAACAACCGCCCAAACGAAACAACCACCGTCTGGTGCGTAAATTCGAGGCAACAGGTTCTGTGGTAAATCTGCCAAGCTCTGGCCGGCCAAGGAGCGTTCGCACACCGGAAAATATTGCTGTCGTGAAGGAAAATGTGAGAGACGATCCGAAACAATCAACAACGCGTCGATACCAAGAATTGGGCATTTCGAGAACCAGTTTGCTCCGCATTCTCCACGAGGATTTGAATGTACACGCCTACAAGATCCAATTGATGCAAGAGCTGCGTCGGGCCGACCATTTTTTGCGCCGAACGTTCTCAGATTGGCTCCTTGAACACCGCCAAATTGATGCCAATTTTTCATCAAAAATCATGTTCAGCGACGAAGCGCATTTCACTTTGAATGGGACGGTAAACAAGCAAAACTGCCGCATTTGGGCGAACGAAAATCCCCGTGAGTATCAAGAGCAGCCGATGCATCCTCAAAAAGTGACTGTGTGGTGTGCATTGTGGTCAAAAGGCATCATCGGACCTTACTTTTTCGAAAATGCGGCCGGGGACGCCGTTACCGTCAATTCTGAGCGATATCACCTATTTTTTGCCGCAACTTGAAGGAATGGATATGGACGATGTTTATTTCCAACAAGACGGTGCAACATGCCACACAACCAACGTCAATATTCATCGATTGCAGTCCTTCTTCGGTGATCGTGCGATTTGACTCCCTTGGACTTCTTTTTATGGGGATATTTGAAAAGCAAAGTCTACGTCAACAAACCAGCCACCCTCCAAGAACTCTAAAACAACATCATTGCCGAGATAAAGGCCATAGAACCGACCATGTTGCAAAATGTCATTGAAAATTTCGACCTTCGCGTGGACGTCTGTAAATCCAGTAGTGGTGAACATTTAAGCGATATTGTTTTTCATACATAAATGGTATAAATGAACCTTCAAAATAAAGTACCCAACTTGATTTGAATATCAATCTTTCTTGTTTTAATATGCGTTTACTTTCCTGCGTCCGTTTTGGACAACCCCATACAACCTGATGTTTACTTGATTGCCTACGCTGTCTCGTTTTCTATCTCATTGTCGTTCGCTCACTCTTAGCTAGTTAGGGATCCTGTAATAAATAATAGTTCACTAAGTTCAGACATAAGAATCGTTCGTTTGAACCAGTTTGTTCGCAAACTACACATCCTTAGCCGTATTCTGGAGCAAAGGCTAACGCTGACAGGACAGTATCCTAGGGCTCAACTAGACCAGACCATGCTAATGAGTAGCCAAATAGCATAAAACAGCTGTCCATGGTTGGCTGTGTTTGATCGGATGGAAACTGTATGTCTTACTTACTTTTGCTGCGGCATAGTCCACATTCAAAACACTCGAACAGTCTATCGCTATTGCTAAGTGTGGATACGATTTATGAGCCTTCTTCACAGACTCTGTTAGGTAGTCAGCTGCTGGGTAGTACAGACCTAGTTCTGGCTTAATTAGTAAGTACTCTTCGCCTGGCTTATCCTCCTACGAAAAGAATCATTAACTATATTTCGAGATCGATGTCATAACTAATAACAATTAGAAGACAAATAAATGTTTTTGGATAATGAGAGTCCTGGGTGTATCTATCTGTGGCATAGAAGAAAGAACACCCAGTAACAATGAATGTATTACTACAATTTTTTGTATACATATTATGTCTTAGGGTTAGGTAAGTGATTAATCAAAATTTCAGAAAAATCAAACCGTTGAAAAAATGTGAAAAAGTAATAACTTGTTGACCCTCCCCAAGGTCTTATGCGATCAGAAACACATCTGGGCATACTCTCAGTCAGATGACTGATTTTCTTTTGAGGTGTCTTATCCAAAGGCTACTTGTACCTTGTATCGAAGTGCCGCTAGGGTCTGTGGAGCATGGGGTTAACGGAATAATATTCTTCCCTTAATGTCCTAGGCGTGTTCAAACGGTGAAAGATTGGGAGATCTACGGGCCAAGGCAACAAATCGATTTGATTTTATCCAAAAGTGGCTCAACGTAATTCTGGCTATATACAGGGTGTTCCTTGATGATATGCGAATATTTAGTGGTGTGAATCTACATGAAAAATTAATGTTAGTTTGCTTTATAAACTATGGTCCAAAAATGTTTCCTTACAAAAACTCTGGGTGTAGAAGTTTTAGGAAAAAAATGGAAATTAATTGATATTTTCAGAACCGCTTTATACAGGGTGGTCCATAAGTCCTTTGAAATTTCAAATTTGAATAAAATTTAACGGGTGAGCGTGAGCGGCGCGGGCGAGGTGGGGGCAGTATCTTCAGTGTCTGGGAATTCAGTCGCCATGGAGTGTTTCACTGGAGCGGATCGTGCTTTTTGTGTGCGCGCGTTTTATCAAAATAATGATTCGGCAACCATTGCGCGGCGTAAATATCGACAATACCACAATTTACACAATTTTACAAAGTGTCCAACAGCTCAAACGATTAAGAACTGGGTTGCTAAGTTCGAAGAGACTGGTTCGACATTAGATAAACAGCGGTGGGGTCGACCAAGGACAACTCGTATTGAAGAAAACATCAAAATTGTGGCACAGTCTGTTCGTCAAAATCCTACCCAGTCTACTCGTAAGCGTTCCAGTGCACTAAACGTACCCAGAACATCTTTACAGCGGATTTTAAGGAAAGATTTACGTCTGCACGCTTACAAAATTCAGTTAGTGCAGGAATTAAAAGATAATGACGCTATTCAGAGACTAAACTTTGCGAATGAAATGTTGAATCGATTTTCTTCGCTCAATAATGTGTTGTTCTCGGACGAGGCTCACTTCCATTTAAATGGGCATGTAAATAAACAAAATTGCCGTTATTGGAGCCCCGAAAATCCAAGGCGTAAGCATCAGAAGCCCTTACACAGCCCTAAAGTTACAGTTTGGGCTGCTATGTCAGCACATGGCATCGTAGGCCCTTATTTTTTTGAGGACGACAGAGGTCGCGCATTAACTGTTACTTCGGAGCGGTAGGTAGCAATGATAGAAAAGTTTTTGACACCAGCGTTGCAGAATTTTCCAGGCTATAATACGCAGACCTGGTTTCAACAGGACGGAGCAACTGCCCACACCTCCAACACTTCTATGCCCGTTGTCTGTCAACTTTTTCCCAGCAAAGTAATTTCTCGAAGAGGAGACATTTCCTGGCCACCACGTAGTCCAGATTTGACCCCAATGGACTTCTTTTTATGGGGCTACCTCAAGAGTAAAGTGTACGACACCACTCCGCGATCAGTTGATGTCCTGAAAGAAAATATCCGAAGAGAAATGGCAAGCATTACAGTGTTGACTTGCCGCGCAGTCATCGACAATTTTAGACGTCGCTTATGAGTGCCGTGATCGTAATGGATTTCATTTAGACGATGTGATTTTTAAAACATAATTCCCATTCAATAAAGATGATAACAAAATATAATAATTCTTCATAATGTAACTAGTTTGGTATTATACCTTTTTTTTCCAGCTCAAAGGACTTATGGGCCACCCTGTATATTTCACTGATATTTAGTACGTAGTAAAAGTTAATAAAGTTGCATATTTTTCATTGCAAAAATATTTTTTAGCTTTAACAGTGGCGTGCGTACGGGTATTGCCTTCGGTATTTTTTAAGAAAAAAATGATACGCCAATGGTTTTTTGCCAAATAAAAATTATTTTTGAATTCCCCGTTCAATTTAAAACAAATAATCTCTTGTTAGCTGCTTTCTTTCGATGCGCCATTTTTGAAAAAAAAACCGTTCTATTGTCCGAGAAAATAAATGTAATACGAGTAATTGAAGAATCCAATTTAGCAATAAATATCTAGTTGCTCTGGAATATGCCACTGGCTTTTGACATCTGACAAGTCTCTGTTATTCAAATCTATTCGCTGTGACATCTTTTTCAGTATTTAGTTTTTACAATCTTGTTAATAATGGTGAATTAAATTCAAATGCAGAAATGGCGGAAATGCATTTTATATATATCACTAGAGATATCCCGATCGTGCTTTGCCAGATAGTCGAACCTTTTTTTCCTAATATTAATCGTCGTCTTATTGAAACTGGTTCTGTCCGAAAAGGGACACCTGAAGGTAGACCTCTAAGTGTGAAAACACCTGAAATTGAGAAAGCAGTGCTGCACGAAGTCGAAGAACATCCTGAAACGAGTACGAGGAAGATCGCTAGACACTTAAATATTTGCCATCAAATTGTTTGGAGGATATTAGTGGATTTTTTGTTATATCCTTACCATATTCTAAGAGTACAGGCATTACTTCCCATTGATTTTCCAAGGCGTGTGACCTTTTTTCAGTGGTATGTTCAAAAAATTACACAAAATCCGCAATTTGAATCAATGATTCTGTTCACGGACGAAGCTAATTTTTCTCGAAATGCCATTCAGAATTTCCACAATACTCATTTGTGGGCAGAAGAAGATCCCTACTTCGTAAACGAAACCCATTTCCAACACCAATTTTTGGTTAACGAATGGGCAGGAATTATTGGCAACCACTTTATTGGCCCATTCTCCTTGCCGGACGACTTGACGGACAGACTTACCTCAATTTTCTTCAGCGACAGTTGCCTTTGCTGCTTGGTGATGTTCCGTTAGTAATAAGAAACAATATGTGTGGTACATGCATGATGGTGCATCAGCGCATTTCAGTGTAGCGGTTCGTAATTATTTACAAACTGTTTATCCAAATCGTTGGTCCCCAGACCTCAACAATTTAGATTTCTTTTTGTGGGTCTTAAGAGACTAGTGTACAGAAGTCCCATCAATACTGCAGAGGAATTGAGAGAAAGAATAGTTGCAGCTTGTGATGGAATAAAAAACAGTAAAGGGATATTTCAATTGTGCGCAATTCCATGAGAACGAGGGCGGTAGCATGAATACTAAGTGAAGGGGGCCATTTTCAATTTTTGTAATCATTTCGTTAATTTAGTGTTATATTCATGTTGTCAGTTGTTGTTGTTCATTACCCCTAATGTGTCTAATTTTTCCAACTAAATTAATAATAATTTTGCAAGTTTGACAGTAGAACGGTTTTTATTTTTGTTACTCAAAAATGGCGCTTCGAAGGAAAGCAACTTAAGAGAGATCATTTGTTTTATATTGAACGGGGAATTCAAAAATAATTTTTATTTGGCAAAAAATCATTGGCGTACCATTTTTTCCTAAAAGTTCAACACCCCGAGTTTTTGTAAGGAAACACTTTTGTATCATAGCTTATGAAGCAAACTAATATTAATTTTTCATGTAGATTCACACCCTTAAATATTCGCATAACACTAAGGAACACCCTGTATAGTCTATATAAGGCATAACATGTGGTTCCATCACTTCCTGGATGTAACGCATGGCGCTTAAGTTGTCTCTGATCAACGCCAAAGGTGACCAGGTTCTATAAGCAATAGCCCCCGCTAAGATAATTCCAACAGTGTGGTGCACATACGTTTCCTTAGAAAATTGAGGACCTCGTCTTTCACCTTGTCGCCTTCTGACCCTTGAAAGGCCAACATGCATCCCCAAGCAGAAACTGCATTCATCACTACAGACAATAGTATTCCATTAGGTCCCATTTCATCCGTTCTCTGCACCAAGCCAGTCGATCATTTTGGTACCTAGGAGTGAGAGGTAGGACAAGCTGAGGACGGTATGAAGTAAGTCCTGAGCTGTTGATCCAGCGATAAACAATTCGCATTGTATCAGGCTTTCCATGCTCTCCAAACCATTTCTTAGTAGGTAATTAACCTTGTGAGCGAGAAGCGATCCCGTAGAAGAACAGCCGGTATCCACTTAATCGATATGGTTGAAAGGCTGATCGTTTTTCGTCCTAACCTAAACATATACCTAGAAAATCTCTTTAATAAATTCATTATTAGTGGGTGTTCTCTTTCTATTTGGACGCTCCTTAGGTATATTTATTTAGACGGTACCCAACTGTGCATCAAATACTTGATCTAACCTATGCTTGTACTAATGTGTGCCTTGACATTAACTATAGTTGTAGGCACCGTTTTTGGCGGTTACGTCATCAACGCCACATGAAATAAGTAAACAGATCGAGTCTCCGTACCATAGGGGGAACTCTGCGCAGACTAACCTTCAGCGCATCTACTACTCTCTCCAGTACGTATGAAGTGGGTAACACGGGACCGCTGTTTTCATTCTCTTCCTGGAAATACTCTAATAAATTTAGCACGAGCTGTCGGCCTTCTCTATTGATCGTATTTCCGGGAATCGTACAATTTTATAATGAAGATTGATAACAGGGCAACACGAATTGCACGCCGATGTCAAGTAAGTTGTCACTCTGACAAATATGATTGAAGGGCACTCATACGTAACGACAAAGTTTTCGGGACGGAAACACACAACTAAAAAACGTATGTCTTTGAGCTTACCGAGCACAGCGGTAGGTTACATGTCGACCACTGCAACGAAGACTATAGTAACTAAAAAATTGACTTACTATATGGTATCGATAGACCTTACCGGGTTCTCTTTGGTGGAATAATATGGTATCTGTCATGCAACTGTAGGCAACCAGTAAATCTTCTACATCATATAGTAAGTATAGTTAATTTAGTCTTCGATACAAAAAATCACCGAAAGCCTAACTTACTGTTAGACCTACTGTCTGACTGTCACGACATTGTTTGAGGTTACAGTAATTAATAGCGAAAACGTTTCAAGTATTAGCTGTATGGAGAGAGCAGTTTTCAAAGCAAACTAAAATAAATTCAAGAACCAAAATAATTCTGGCAGATGCAAAAAGGCTAAGTGCAGTTGCTGATCCGTTAAATTTAGGCAAGTTTGGTTCATAAATAGTGAGGAATTCTTTTAACACAACAAGAAGGTTCAAACATAGCATCCTCTTCTGCACGTTATTCATTGGGATCTGTCGCATCGCAGTCTGTTTCTCTCATACCTGTGAATTGAAAAAGTTTAACAGAGAATTCAACTACTGCAGTCCTCGGGTTTGCTAAGACGACACTCATGTGTTTGCTTTTCATTATTTCATCTCCAAGTCTTTACCTGATACAGATCTATATTACAGACCTATATCATACTGCGGTTGGTCGTGGATCCATTAGTTTTAAATAAAAGGTAAAATCGAAAAATTGCTCAAAGGCGATTGTGAAAAAAAGTTGAAAATAAATAAGATAAGTGCCTCATGAAATGAAATATAAGTGTGACTATGATAATGATTTCACGATATTAACATTGATTATCACAGAATGAGACCGCTAATTAATACGCTTCTGGAACTACCTTTGCTGTAACACAAGCTTGCTTCCAGTAGATGCTAGAAAATTAAGTGGTTTATTAGACCTATATAAATCAAAAGCAAACAGTCTTCCTAGCATTCCTGAGGCTTACCTGCTTTTCATTTTTCTCTAAAAGCCAAAGAATAAAGAAAAATACAAAGAGGAGATGAATATAATTTGAGTGACTCAGATTGGCATTAAAGAGGTTGTTTTCGGCCATTTGTTTGAAAAATACTGTAATATTTCAAGAAATATCCTAATAAGTCTAGATCAAATGTATTTTTTCCTTGAATTGATCCAATGAAACCGATAGTAAGTCAACGAAATTTATTGAAAAAAATTGACATTTTCGCTAGGTTTGTATATACATGTAATACATTTATAACCTTCTATAATATGAGATCGTCATTTTTCTGACAACGAAATTCATCAGAACATCTTCTAATGCCTTTATCTCAGTTCAACCAAAACTTAGTTATAACAATGTTCCTTGCAGGGGTCGATTATGTATGTATGAGGTAGATGGAGATATATAAAGGGATACTGGTAGTCTTACTTTGATCCGCCAAGAACGGTGACTACAGCTCATATCAGTGTCAATCTATAATACATCTGATGTCACTTTGAATTCATCTCCACTCCTTAGATTTGAAAATTTGCTAAATTATGAAGTTGCTAGGTATTCTTATAGTGGTTTTGGGTTCTTGATTAACACGCAACGTACAAAATACGAAGGTATCCAAATCAGACGAACTCATATTTAGAAATTGGGTTGAATGCGCATCTATAATAGGTATATCGTAATAGAATCTTGTAGTTATTTTACTTACTGATTTGACTGCGATACGGATTTTTGGTCTGGACCACATTTTCAGTAACACCAGTGCATTGCAGATACATCCAATCACAATGGCTGTTTCAACGCCCTTTATGGTACCGATCACAAATGTGAAAGCAGTCAGAAAACAGTCTACCTCTAAAAAAATGTATTATATGATGCCGAGCCACAAATTGATATAGCCAGCTATATTCGCAAAGTTTTGATGATTTGTTGTTGAGGTATAAGCGATTCAAATGTACAAAAACGCCCAAATTTCACAGTCGCTCAGTTGGTATTTTTAAAAGACAGTGAATTTATACTATAGCAACATGAGGTAAGCATGAGGGGCTTCAAACTGAGTTATCACATGATCCCTCATTTCGTTTAAAAAATCTTCTAAGATTTCGCCCAGCTGTTGTCTTGAAATTTCCAACTGCCATTTTTAGGGATGTTAAAAAATAGTCAATTATTTATTTCTTATAATCGATATGTGATAATCGATATTACTAATCATATTAATCAATTTTTGATAAATCGATTAGATAATTTTTTTTGCGAACAGCCCCAACTGTATCTCTACGACAGACACGGTCAAGAAACCAGGAAACCGTATTTTAAGAAAAAGGTTACCAAAATGCTACTCCCTTACTGAAAAATCTGTGGCAATAATTATTTTTATTATTTTAGTTTCGAGATCAACATGTTTCTGGTTTTGTTTTTGTCATTTTCATTATAGTCAAATTTTAAATGGCACTGAGACTGAACATTTGTTCAGAAGTATCCTTTTAGATTTTACGTTTTGGTTTTATTGTTCTTGTTTTGTTTCATTTGCTGTACTCATCGTTTTTTATTTAAATCATATTGAAGTACCTAAGCTGGAAAATTGGTTTTTGTTTCTTTAGTTTTGAAATGTTGTATAAATTATTTTTATACACATCATCTTAATCAATTTTTATTCTAATAAATTTTGATCTCGTAATTTTATTATTACTATACATATAAAAAGGCATGCAGTTTGTCGACTAAAAGAAAAAGTCGATTTTTCCAGAAAAATCAATTATCTTTTTCTTCTAAAATCGATTTCTCACAAATCGAATATTATTGAAAAAGAAAAAAATCGATTTTCTACCATCATCCCTCCCATTTTACACAAAAATGTATTTATACATCAATTTCGCGTCTCGGATTTCTGATTTATGAGTCTGTTAAGAAAAAGGAATGGCAATAAATTTGATTGATAAAAGGAAAGCCAGGGTTGATAAGAATCATGAACTTTCATGAAAACAATGAACCTTGGTTTAAATACTGATTTTTCTCAAAGAAAAATACGTGATATAAATTATTGATTCAAATAATTATTTAAATCAAATGATTTAAATCAATCAACCCTGGGGAAAAGTATCATAATCATTAGAAACGCATGGCTTTATTCCACTGGCCACGAATACTTACTGTTGCATCTCCACAGAACCTGGAATATTTCAAAATCAATCAATGAGCTAGCAGCTGTGATTAGTACAGCAGCTAGAGTAGGCTTCGGAATAAAATAAAAATATGGGGCCAGAAAGCTCAAGGCCAATACGATGATAGAACCTAAAAAGAAGGTTTACATTAGATTCGTATCATTAATAACAATGGTTATCGCATATTTGTACTAGATTTAACAAATAACAAACAAATCCTTGCAAAAATATTACATTGTTATTTAAAGTTGAAGCTGGTAGATCTAAAAGGTTTTTAGATTTCAATGTATACGAGTGTCAGAGAGAGAGAAGCGTGCAACACCACCCAACGAGAATTAAAAATAGTTATTTTGTAGAGAATTTCAAATTAAGCCAGCCTAAAAGTAGAAGAGTTTTGTCTACAATTCTACCTGTAAAATAATAATTATTAACAAAGGGTTTCAGAAATTATATACTCAAGATGGGGTAGGAGAGGGTTGAATATTTCTATGGTTAACCTTATCACTTTTAAAGCTTATAAAAATTTCTCTCGAACACTATTTGACCTATGAACATGAAATTTGGCGGAGAGGTGTATAAAAGAGAAGTGATACACAATAATCACGAAATCTCAGAAACGATTTGACCTATGAACATGAGAGGTAAAGAGGTAGTGCATAAAGAAGGAATACCAGCTAATAACGGATTTTGCAAAAGAGTTAAATTAAAGGGGCTAATGGTCGATATATGGTATGTAAAAGCTAAAAGATACACATTAATCGCGAAACCTCTAAAATTATTTCACCTACAAACATAAATTTTGGCAGGAGTTAGCTTATGGACAGGACATTTCAGCTGAGGATTTTGTGGCAGAAGGGCTGAAAGGGCACTTGCAAGTTTGCTTAAATTCTTCCGAGGTTTCTAGTATCTAAAAATTGGCAATGATGAGGTTCTGTTTAAGGTAGACTTGGACTAAGAATGGATGTAAGCGGACATTTGGCGGAGAGGTAGCTTTTATAACGTGAAATTTAGTTTAATTCAAAATATTAATTTCAAAAAATTGCTAACATTAATGTGTTAGCGTTTTGAACGCGGTTTCACCTTCCCATCTTATGAAGCCTACTTCACGACTATCCATCACGCTTTGACGTCTACTGAGGTGAACAGCTGATCAGCAAGTGACATTTTTGTGTTAGTCTCCAACGTTGGCAATAATGAGTCGGGTGTAAATCTAGTAAAACCTGCTTATAGCGTTTTGTTTTTATATGCAAATGGACTTTTCTAAATAAAAGAGCTGTTAGAAAGAACAAAACGAATATGTGGCGTACAAAAAACCAAAACAAAACTCGGCTTTGTCTACTTGGCGTTGACGGATCTGTCAGAATTATGAAATAGTGCCAGATAATCAGCTGTCCTTCTACCGTGATGGATACTCGTGAAACAGGGTATAGTGGCTCCTTTAATAAGATAACCAATTTTTCCAAGCATGCACGTTGATGTCAATTTACTAATACAAAATACAATGCAGTTATAGCAATACTCAGAAGTAATGTTATACGTATGTTACTAACAATTTAATGCGTACAAAGTCGCGAGTAACAGCTAGTATATTATAAGCCTTTTAGTGATTTTCTATTTTTAAACACTTTATGCAAATAATACGAAAAAAAAATATTTCATATTTTTATTCAATCCTTTTAGCCCGTATCATTTAAAAATAAAACTAATATTGACTTTTTATCTATTGTTACATAAGTCTTGAATAGGTCAGAATTTGAATTTTAATGGAAAGTTTTTATCAAGTTGTATGTACACTTTTTCGTGATGAAGGCTACGATATTATCTATGGCTATAACTCAGATGCATATTATCTAATTCAAGTTTACTATTTTTTGTTTACATGTACAACACACTACCTGCGTATATTCGTAGGAATATGAACACAACGGGATTATTACAAATATTTGTTTAAAGATATACAATCTTACGTAGGATAATAGTTGAACCAAAGTCATTATACGCATCATATCATAAACGAGACTAAACTTTTACTTATATGACAATCTAGCCTTCTAAACATATTTTTGCGAAAAAAGTTTCCATTTGAAGTAGTAGAGACATAATTTGAAAAACGATGTAACAATACACTTTGAGGTGATTCTATTTAGAGCTCTGGCAACACTTAGAAATAACCTGTTACGTTTTTCCCCGCTGGAAATTAATATTACGAAAGATGTATGTTTAAGTCTGAACTCGCAATACGGCTTTAATTTGTTTTGTTCTTTGCAATGTTCAACTACCTATACAGGGTGTTCCGGATTTAAATGGGCATAGTGTAGTGAAATGCTAGGTATGGACCGATACCTTTGTGTATCTGAAAAATGATAAGTTTTTCAGGCATATACAAAACACCAAAAATCTTTTATAAGCCCATAGTCGAGCATTATATATAAATTTTGTATGTTAGCAAAGTCACGTAGGAGTAACGTAGAACCAGATGGATGGTTGCAAACCTCATAGGGCGCGACTCGATTTTTCATTTTTTTTATCAAAATCAATACTTTTCAAGCTAAATACCAAAATATTTTACTTTGTACAAAAAATCCAACGATGGCGCTAATTAATTACGAAAATATATTGCAACTCTTTTAGTTTTTTAATTAAAAATGTTTATTTTTCCAAATGTCTTACTTTTAGCAGTTTATGTGACACAAAACTCAAAATTTCTAACAATAACAACCTTATTTCATCAACTCTTCATAAAATAATGCTTGAAATAACACTGAAGATATTTTGGGAAATCAAAATTCTATGTCCCAAGCTTCTTTTATTTCCTTGTATTTCATTAAGTGCAACGCCCTGTAAGTTATACTATAAAATTTATAATCAATTCACAGAAAAGAGAGCAATGCATGATATAAATAAACTGAAAAATTATTGTTATGGTAGCTATGTACCCTACTTGCTGCTTTCGGTAATTTTTATATGATTTAATTTTACCTTCTGATATCTTACAACAATTTTAATATTCAGCTCAAAAAGTGTAGAATTTGATACAAAACGAAAAACTCAAAAATACCGAATCCGCCCCTGACTTTCAAACAGCTTGTAATTTGGTTAAAGATGCGGCGTATTTAGATAAATCACGTGAAGAACGGAATTAAGAACTTTTTTTTTAGATATGAAAAGGTCTCGATCCATTTCACTATGTCCATGACCTACTTAGAAGCAGCTTGAAGTAATCATTGGGGAATAAGGTTATGGTAATTTCCGATTTTCGCATTGCTAACAATATACCAAAACCTTTTTCCTCCATTAAGCTGAGAATAAACGCCCGAATTTCAGGAAACCACATTTTCAGTTTACTGGCGGCCAAGAAGGTGCCATTGCCCTTCCGCCTCAAGTCCTCAGACTTACAAAAAAATGAGGCAAAAATGAGGAAGGAGATACCACCTTGTTTTTTTTGGAAACAAAATTGTGCATTCTGTTCTTAGACTGCTGCTTATTATTTCCCTTCTCATTTACTTTACAATAAGCGCAAACGACTTGACAATACCCCCTGGAAGTAGGACCCCCCCCCAAGACATGATCCTGGATCCGCGCCCGGATGCTTGGGCGATTGACGTAGCCGAAATATGGTTTACCATATGGTTGCGCGCGGCAAACGAATTCTAAGGGTATCATCATTTTTCATATCATATGGAAATACTCTCTCATCTACGAAGAATGATTAAATCTGGTTCTGCCAGCTATCATTATTACGCGGCCCTCCAAACGGAAGAACGATTAACCCTTTTTATCATGGCATGTGGTAACGCGCACTAACACAATTGATTCCAAACATGGTTCTTGGACAACACTTGATTTTCCACGAGAGAGAACGCCAGAGTATTTTCAGCTAATGGTTTGCCCCAGTTATGACGCAGAAGAAGATAAAAATAAAAATAAAAAATGCTAAGGAAGGCATCAAAGCCCGAAGTAATAAATGGAGTTTTCCCATGCTTGCCTGCGATTTTCGTTTCGCTTATTGTAAGTAATAATTTAAATTGTATCATAATTTGTCTTGTGAACTTGAATAAAAGCTTTTTAAAATCCGGTAAGTCCATTTCGGCGCTTTAACTCCCTCTTACCAGAATAAACGCCTTGTAAAGGTGTCCGCACATCACTGCTACTTGCTACTGAGGATCTTGTAAAAGCTCCGCAACTAGGCATAGCCTTCACAAAGGAGCCCAAAATGTTGCATAGTCCTAGCGTCATCATTTCTTGGGATGCGTCAACTATCACATCAGAACCTAAAAAAAATGGCGTCTAGTAGGTTGAGTTTGCACTTCCCACGCAGCACAGTTCATAAAAATTATGTTCGGCCTAAGTTAGCCCCTTTTACGAAAGACGCTTACTGCGGAAATGTATAACAAAGGAATTCAATGGATCAAGTCAGTCGAATAGGCCCGTACACTTAATCCTTAGGCACTAGTTCCCTCCTGAGAACCTGGCTGCCTCCTAAAATTTGCGTTTTCAGCAGAGTTTTGTGTACTATGTTCAAGATTTTTAGGATTTCCGCACCTCCTTTCCCACCCAAAGTTCAGCTCTTCAAAAAATTTTGGCGGCTGTTACATAACTATAAGATGCCAAAAGTATACCTCCTCTACAGTAGAGCAAGTTCATAATCATGCAAGGCCACAACTCGAATTAAGATCAAAAATTAACGCAAAAACATGAATCAAACAGATGTACTTCTCTTTTCTTTGCTCTTCTTTTTTCCTTTCCTTCATTCCTTCTGTCTTGTTTCTGGACAGTCATGACAGACAGACTCGACTAATGTACACTAGATAGTGACTAACTAATGGGCAAAGATCCTACGGACGGCCCAGATAGACAAATGTCGAATAGTAGGGTGCAAAATGTTTCCACTTACCAACGCCTTATCTATCTCCCTGAGAAAAATCTCTGAGGGCGTCCATGTCTGAACGCAAATAACATATGTCTAACAGGTGAGCAGAATTACCGAAATTAAAAGCGTACTACCGCAAAAAATCCCCCACTCCCTACAGCACTCAGTTCCCCTCTTTTTTCACTACTCAAATAATTATCAAAAAAATGAGCAGGAACCTCTGAAATATCAAAAACGAGATTTGAGGGATTTTTATTCATCTCATATTTTTCTCGCAGAGCCGCTGTCACTGGATCAATTAAAAAAACTACAAAGCTTTTTCGTTCTTAGCATAGTGAGAAACTTTTATCAAAATTCGAGCGGTACTTTCCAAGTTATAGGGGGGTTCAAACTATAATTGTCACATCTTGTACCAAAAGCATCACAAATTATGGTTGCATTCATTCATAAGTGGCGTTAACTATAGGGATTCATCGAGTCAAGTAGCCTGATATTTTTATAAACTGCTTGACTTGACAAAAAATTGTTTGAAAAGTTAATGCTTGACTTGACTTGATTTTCTGATTGTTCTACTTGACTTGAGGTTAAGTATTTTTAAACTACTTGATTCTTGATCCCAAAGTATATTTGTTCTACTAAAGACATCCAGTAATGTTTCTTTGTGCAACCGATGAGCCCTATTTTGTATTTGAATGCAGATGATCATGCAGATAATTGAAAATTTTCTCGAGACACTGTACACTACCATCTCAAATGGTGCATGCAAACAGCGTCGCCAAACCAAAATACTCGAAATCGGTAAGTGTCGTTGAAATTCGACAGATTCAATGTCAAAATCGGTAGAATCAAACAATCAGGGCTGGCTCAAAATCAGCGACAGATCAAGGGCTTTTGGGACACGCAGCACCATCTATAAAAAGTAGGACGCAGGAAAGTAAACGTCAATTTGACATAGACGCCATCTTTGTTTTCTGTCACCGACATGTCATTTTGTTAGTTGAATAATTACCATTGATCGCTATGGAGTCGTATTCGATTGAAGACCGCATTAAAGTTATTCAAGAGCACTACAAAAATGGTGCAAAAATAAAAAACACGTTTCGCGCGCTTCGTGAGCATTTCGGTCGCAACAACCGCCCAAACGAAACAACCATCGGTCGTCTGGTGCGTAAATTCGAGGCAACAGGTTCTGTGGCAAATCTGCCAAGCTCTGGCTGGCCAAGGAGCGTTCGCACACCGGAAAATATTGTGAAGGAGAGTGTGAGAGACGATCCGAAACAATCAACAACGCGTCGATCCCAAGAATTGGGCATTTCGAGAACCAGTTTGCTCCGCATTCTCCACAAGGATTTGAATGTACACGCCTACAAGATCCAATTGACGCAAGAGCTGCGTCGGGCCGACCATTTTTTGCGCCGAACGTTCTCAGATTGGCTCCTTGAACACCGCCAAATTGATGCCAATTTTTCATCAAAAATCATGTTCAGCGACAAAGCGCATTTCACTTTGAATGGGACGGTAAACAAGCAAAACTGCCGCATTTGGGCGAACGAAAATCCCCGTGAGTATCAAGAGCAGCCGATGCATCCTCAAAAAGTGACTGTGTGGTGTGCATTGTGGTCAAAAGGCATCATCGGACCTTACCTTTTCGAAAATGCGGCCGGGGACGCCGTTACCGTCAATTCTGAGCAATATCACGTGATGATAGAGGACTATTTTTTGCCGCAACTTGAAGGAATGGATATGGACGATGTTTATTTCCAACAAGACGGTGCAACATGCCACACAACCAACGTCAATATCCATCGATTGCAGTCCTTCTTCGGTGATCGCGTGATTTCGCGCAGAGGAAATGTGCCATGGCCACCAAGATCGTGCGATTTGACTCCCTTGGACTTCTTTTTATGGGGATATTTGAAAAGCAAAGTCTACGTCAACAAACCAGCCACCCTCCAAGAACTCAAAAACAACATCATTGCCGAGATAAATGCCATAGAACCGACCATGTTGCAAAATGTCATTGAAAATTTCGACCATCGCGTGGACGTCTGTAAATCCAGTCGTGGTGAACATTTGAGCGATATTATTTTTCATACATAAATGGTATAAATGAACCTTCAAAATAAAGTACCCAACTTGATTTGAATATCAATCTTTCTTGTTTTAATATGCGTTTACTTTCCTGCGTCCTTTTTGGACAACCCCATATATGTATTGTCTACCAGCGCGGACACAATACAGATACACAAGTTTTCTATAAATATAAATAGATAAGGATTACTTACTGTAGGCCTTAGCAATAGCTACGTTTGCTAATACCGCTACAACCGGTATAACAATCATTCCAGATCCTAATGTCGATACCATTTCCTTATAACCGACAGTTCTATTTCCTTGATGCGTTTCTATTGAAGGAAATCCAAAATCTGGCAATCCTTTTGGCACCGGACCTGTCAATTTGAAAGGAGCCCCGCCTTCCATGTTCTTGTGTAAATAAGCCGCTATGACGGTGGTCAAAAGTACTACTATAGCGTTTTTAGAAATGGATAGAAGCCATATGAATTTTTTAGTTGCTGGGTGGTGAACTGGAATTTTAGCAAGTTGCTGCAAATAAAAATCATATTTCAAAACCGTTGTACCATTGTTGGTATCGTCATGATTGCTAATATTTTTCAGATATTTTTACATTGCCAGGTACTCACTACACCGTATTGTATTAAGATCATAATGCTATGGAAATATACATCTCGTATCTAAAGGATATTTAACGCGGATGATACCAGTTTTGTAACATCTCGACTAGTTTGGTTGCCCTTTTCAAAGTATATGTAAACATGAAAATGGCAATATATTTTATTTATTTTTACTATTAAGACACATAGCTGTATCAAATGCTCATAGATTACGCTACGGTATCTCATTTCATCTCGAAGTATTTTTCGAACGCGGAAATGTAGTATTAGGTTCACTATATTCAGGTGGAATACGTCAATCAATATTAATTTGCAATATTCGACTACTAATGATGGATTTGACTTGTTCATCGTTCCAAATTGTGAGAAACAGTACTTGGTCACGTTGTGCTCATGTCATTGTTATGTTTGATGCACTTTTAAAAAGGCCACCAAGTAGAACGTCAGTTTTATTTTCCTCCCTGTGAAATATGTAGATTCATCACCGAGACAACCACAGAATAAATTTCAAATGTTACATTAAGATGATACTGTATATTGGGTTAAAAGCTTTATTGTATATTTTGCTGATCTCATATTCCAACAACACATTGTGTCCATACTAACCTTAAAACAAAACAGGAATGCGATACAACTAAACCCCAATATGGCGTCAGGTCCGCTGATCTCCCTGAAGTGAATACTTAACTCTTTCATAACTTCAAAAGTGTCATGGCTATTTATCTTTATACCTAACAGATGTTTCATCTGAGCTACTATGATAATTAGAGCACTGGCTGAAGTGAAACCGGATGTTAGGCATGGTGAGATGAAGTCTACCAGAAAACCTGTTAAAAAATAAGAATTTTGTTATAAGCAATTGTTGCCCCGTCACAGCCATGTCGTCAAGTAGGATTGCAAATAATTTTGATGATATAACTTTAAAGCCAGGAAACTACCAAGACATTATTTTCATGATTTTTTCCCGAACATCCAATGGTGACCTTCAATATGACCTTAGTCATGACCTAGAAGGTGATTTGAAGGTCAATTATTTTTTAATGGGAGAAAAGGTGAAGTTTTATGTTTGAATATGTCCTGGACCTTTTTTTGTTCTTGACCTTGGACTAGACCATCAAGTCAAATACAAGCTCACCATAATTTCTTGATAATTCAGAAAACCATTTCACCGTTCTTTTAGGATTGCTCGCTTGCTGGAAAAATAGACTTGACCTTCACATGACCTTGAAGGTCACCATTGGATATTCGCAGCAAAATCATGAAAAAAGTGTGTAGTGTCCCTATACGACTACTGGTTTTGAATTTTATCGCCGTAGGACCTATGTTTGACCTTGACCATGACATCCTTTAATAACGGTCATGACCATATTTGAACGTACAATTTTCCTTTTTCTATCTCCACTTACGGGATCAAAAATGGCGGGTTCTGTTTATAAGATCGACTTGACCTTCAAATGAACTTAAAGGTCATAATGAAGGTCAGATCCAAGCACACCATTAGATACCTGTAAAATACTCCTATCAATCATGGAACTTAGCTTTTTCATACCATTATGAGATCACAAATAATCATGGGGTTTCAGAACACCCTGTCTATATAATTAAACATATTGACTTGTTCATGTTTTGATTTATTGGAAATGTTTCATTAAAATGTGAAAAGGATTCAGCATATTATTTATTAATAACCAACCCTTGGACAAACGCACGGAAGGTCGCCCTCAGCTTCCCTCCGTCCCCGTTACAACTTTTTACTTTAACTACTTTTTCGGTCACATAAAACACGCTAGACTAAAATATATCATACCTAGGTTTAAAATACCCATCAGCATTTCAACACAACCAGCGATAAATGTGAGCAGGATTACATATTCTACTGGACCTCCTCTTACATATGAAAATACTAGAAGAGACATCAAACTTGTAGGTCCTATAGAAACCTAAAAAGACAGCATTACTACTCTAGCACCACTTTAGAATAAAGTAGCAGGCCTCATCGTACACCACTATTAACGCTGCGTCTTTGATAACAGTGAAATTCGCGCCCAAGTACACATTTTTTGCAGTGCTGCACGATGGGCATGATACCTTATTATGTCATAAATATTCAGATTAGGAAAATAAGCTTCAACGAGTCGAAATCTATGAACCTAAAGAAATTCTACCTTGACATACACTTTCAAGGACATTTCCAAGGTAAAGCCCATTTTTTAAATAAGGGAGAATTTCTCTTAAATTCATAGTTTTTGAGGTTAGTTCATCGATTGGATATTTGACCTCCAAAGAGTCGAAATCCATGAACCTAAAAAATTCTACCTTGACATACTCTTTCAAGGTCATTTCCAAGGTTAAGTCCAATTTTTAAATAAGAGAGAATTTCTCTTAAATTCGTGGTTTTTGAAGTTACTTCATCGATTGGATATTTGACCTCAACCATGACCTACAAATGTCAATGCTTAAAGGAACACGTAAATTTTGTTTCCGTTTCCGGTGTCAAAAATATGGGATTGTATCTTGAAGGTCAAGTCTAAATTCAATGTCATCGTCAGAATATCAGGGAAAAATTCTCAGCTTATGCTATCAAATTACTTTAGAACTTATGTTTTTCGAGATTATTATATCTACTAGTTAGTTAGACCTACAAAGGTAAATTTTTTGGGGTCAATGACTCATCAGAGCGTAAAATTTTCCGCTCTATACATTTCCGGTGTCAAAAAATAGGGTGCCATCCGAAAAATGGAGTTGACCTTAAAATGGCCTTCGGTCAAGTTCAAAGCCATCATCAGATAGCCTGGGAAAAGCCCTGATCCTATGCTTAATTAAAATTTATTTTTGACTCACGTGTCTCGTGATCATTTTATGGATTGAGAGAGTGTTTTATGGATTGGATATTATTTTCTGATTGGATATTAAACCTTAACCATGAACTTCCGAGGTCAAGTATTTTGCAAGTCCGAACGCTCTATTTCCAGTGTCAAAAACACAGGATCTTATCTAAAAAATCGTCTTTGAAATGTCCTTAAAAGTCATTCTCAAATTCAAGGTCACCGTAAAATATCCGGGGAAAGTTCCTACACTTATTCTTGGATAGAATTTATTTTAATCTCATGTTGTTCTAGATTATTATGTCGATCAGATATTAGACCTTGCGTTTCAAGGTCAAATTCAAATTCACCATGTCATAGCCAGGCAAAGATCCTAAACCTACAGCTGGGTTTCAGAAAGATTATTTTATCAATTAGATATTGTTTACTGATTGGGTATCAAACTTTGACCATGACCTTCAAAGGTCAAGTTTTTTGCAAATCAAGGACTTGTTCGATCGCTGTATCGATTTCCTTTGTCAAAAATACAAGATGTCCTATGAAAGATGTCGTTCAATGTCAAATTCAAGGCAACCGTATGATATCTGGCAAGGAACGCGTAGAATTTCTTTCAGTCTCAAGGTGTCCAAGATTATTTGTCGTATCCGAACTTTTTGATTATCTTGTATGTATAGTAAAGCATTTGCAGTTCGTACTCACTTCTTTGATTGTGCCAAAAAATACATAAGTAAAAGATCCTATAAAAGCTGTGTATAGTCCATATTGAGGTGCTACTCCTGCCAACCCAGCGTACGCTAGTGACTGTGGGATCATTGTCATTCCCACAGTAATTCCTGAAAACAGAACTCAGGTTTCAACCCAAATTTGATTTTCATAAAAAGCTGCTAAATAGGGTTCTAAAACTTTTATAAAAATTCATTTTTATAGAAGCACCTGCCAACTTATTACAGCGTCCAAGATCTATCTGATATTACTACACGGCAACTCAAATGATCTTGTGAAACTGTAAAGTGATGATGCTGACAGTTTTTTAAATGTTGTTAAAAGGTTGCACACATGGAGATATTCAGGGTGTTTCCTAATTGAATGTCAATATTTAAGGGGTGATTTTTGGGTCCCTTGTAAGAAGAACGTTTCATATCAACGTATGTCCCAAAAGTCTTAACTTTTGATATGCAGAGGGTAAAGTCTTCTATATAGAGACTCAATGACTTTTCTTAAGACAAGAAAAATTGAAATCTGTTTCCATTTATGAGCAGATATAATTTCGATTTTTTTTAGTCCGACGCAGGATTTTCAGATAAAAAAATCTATTTCTCTACATGGTGATCATGTAGAGAAACAGTTTTTATTTTTTGAGCGAAAACCGTGCATTAGATTGAAAAATTTGCTTGGAAGCAATTCCGATTTCAAAAATAATTTTATTCACAGAGTAATCAGTGGTGTACCATCAATCTCTGCCAAAATAGGCTGGTGAAATTCCGTACGACCGTCACTGGTGGAAAAAGGTGGTACGTTAGTAAATACCTCTGGATATATAGTACATGTATGCCAAACTTCATTAAAACATCTAAAGTGGTATTAGACATATTAATAACAAATTATGTATTTCTGACAGCTTTAACACCCTGTGTCTCAGAATTTGAGACGTTCAAGTCTCCTTCTTAAAATGGATCAATAATTGACTTCTTGAATACTGACATTCAATTAGGAAACACTCTATATTTTAAATGAAAACTGCATGTAATGCAACAATAATAGCTAAAACATTATTTTGTGTAAATTTCAACTAACCTGCTATAAAATCTGCTAGGATATCACCTTTTGTATAATTTGGCAACCACTGTAAAATATGTATACGCTTACGCAGGAACTTTTTAAACTTTGACGACGTCTCTGGTTCATCTGGAGACACTGTATCTTTTCCCACTGCGAAAAGATACTCATAAAAGATTTGAGGAAATTGTTAATGATTTTAATGCATATGCCGAAGGCTAGAAATCGTTTGATTCCAGTTACTTCCAAAATCATTTATAGGAACTTTCAAAGAATTCTATAGTAATTTTGATTTTGGCACTGGATCGAGTATTCTGGTTGTGCTTCGGAAAAACCCATTATATAAATTTTCAGATAATTAAATTATGTTTTAGTTTTGTATTCCTTTTTGACGCGTATCCTTGCTTTATCAAGTACAAGTACTTACTTTTTTCGAGAAAATTGGATCCAGTTACACATCTAACACCAGATACCTCACTGTCACCAGAAACAAACAAGTGTTTCTGAGCTTTTCAAAAAACATTTTCACTGTGGATAAATATTTGCTTTTGTAAAGACAAGTGATATACTTTATAAATATGACTTTCGATGTGAGTGAGATATAATACGTTCACTAATCTACGATTCAATTGTTGTATGAAATGGAACATTTATACCTACACAATATTTTCCGAAGATAACAGGTTGTGGAAGGTTGGATAACTTGGATAACTTGGATAACTTGGATAACTTCTCAAATTTGATTATTCAAGTTCGAAAAACAAGTACATTTGTAAAATTTGCGTCATGTAGGCTGTTCAGAGCTGCAAGGGTCGTTTCGTCATTTTCCGGACTCTGGGATATTAGGCCCCAAGCGCCAATTCATGGACTTTCTTTGTCAGGCGCGGCCGAGATGTCCTCAATTCTGGTCAAAAAGTGGCCAGTAGTAGGCACGTCACTGGGCAGGGGCTGCATGCCTCGTTGCCTTAAATTATAGTAGTAAAAAAAACCCTAGAGAGAGAAAGACTGTTTAAAAATCTACTCTACTCTCTGTCTGAGATAAAACTACTTATTGAAAACAATCGCATTTGAAGCAAAACCATGTACATTTTTTTGTACACAAAAAGTAAAGCAAAGGCAAAGAAAATAAAAAAGTACTATACTAATATACCCTTGTTCTAAAAAGTTATGGCAGCTCAAAAATCAAAATCATGATCAATGTAATAGAAGGTGCCATGTAGGCACTGCCCCCATATTTGAATACGTATAATGTCCAATAAAATCAAGAAGTCTCTAAGAATTTCAATAAGCAATAATAAAGGTATAAAGATCTATGAAATTGTTAATTAGAATGATATTATATCTGTTCACATCAGGTTTCTTTTTCAGGGGGATGGCTTCCACCAATTTGCAAAACTACAACAAGATGCAACCAACTGGAGGAGAAAGGATGATGATTCTCTTCTATTTCTATTGACTAAAAGAAAGCAGATATTGAACGAACGTCATCAGGACACGCATTAAGGCACGTGGTCCGAAGGTATATAAAAAAGAATTTCTGTTTCGCTGAGGGTCTAAATCCCATAAAAAAAATGGAAGACGTAGCACCCAAACCAAAATGACTAAACTTAAGTTACACAAAAAAAGTTCATGAATTGGCGCTTGAGGCCTAATATCCCAAAGTCCGAAAAATGACGTAACGACCCCTGCCCACGACCTCAACGGAAACAGAAAAGCGAATCACGCAGAACGCGTAACGTTCTAGAAGAAGGTATCTTGAGTGGCCTTGAAGAAGATGTGTTTTATAGGAAACCAACTAACGGAGAAAAACTACAGAGTTTTTGCTGATCGTCAACACCATACTGAATCTCTGAGAAAGAAAGATATAATACGAGTGAAATTACACAATCAATAAACTATTAAATTTGCCAAAAGAAAATCATTCAAAAGGGTTTGGCCTAGGAATGGGCACTCTATTATCAATGAAGAGAAATTCAAATTACGGGTAAGTGATAAATAGTAAAAAAGGTTACATGATTTTGGCACGTGACAATAACCTACTATAAGTAAAAGACCTTTCAAAATCCGACTCACGATGTATAGAAATAAATATATGTGTAGGTTTAGAATAATCTAATTTCCACGAAGAATCCATTTAATAATTGAATAAACCGTCAACTCTTAGCCACTGTGCTTGATTTTTGAAGAAACGCTATTATGCTTCCTAAAACCAAATATGACTCTGCAACAGTAGTTCTGAAGCTTTTGCAATTTTGACTTGCAAACCGAATAAAGCCTTGGGTAAATGAGGACTAGAGAATAAGCTTAACATTGGCAATATGACGCTGTCGCACAACTTTTTACGTCATTTAAAGTTTAGAATATGACGATTAGAATATAATATCTTCATTTTTATATAACTGAACTCCATGATACTGTTCACGCGTTTGTTAAGTGTAAGATTTGAATCAAATACAACACAGTTAGTTAATTCACGCCCAGACAAAACACAACATGCCCAAAAGCGAGATTGTATGGGTCCGAATTTTCCTCAATGGTCTTGGAATAATCTAACAAAATAAATGATAATTTTTATAGAAAGAAAAGCACATACTTTTTACCTTTCTTTATTCGCCTGGAAGTATAATACTTAAATCATCGTCCGAATGGTTAATATTAATTACACTGATCAACAGCCAAAAAATATCCTAAATAAAATCAACAAAATATTAATATTTTTAATGTGCTAAAACCGGAATGAAACTTATTTTTTCAATATTAGTTCAAGTTTTAGAGATACGGTAATTATATGTGTTCCTGCTGTGACAGTGTTAATATACTGTAATTCACAAGAATGCACGTGCTACATTTTTATATTCGGCAAGGAAAGATGATGTAATCGGCATGATTGTGTTACGTTATACATACGTGTACATTATATTGTTTTATATTAGCCATTTTTTCCTCAGTTGGCTGACAGCGTTCATGCAAGATGTCTCGAAAGTGTGTAAACAATCCAGATCAGTTTTGTTACGTGTGTGGTGATGTGACTTTTGCGTCTCAGAGACGGTCTATTACTCCACTAATAACAAAGGCATATCAGCTTTATTTCGGTTGTAAACTAGGTGATCAAGACAAACAGTGGGCACCCCACATCTGCTGTAATACATGTGCTTCAAGTCTGAGGAGCTGGTTAAATGGCAAAAAACGGTCTATGCGCTTTGCTGTCCCAATGGATTGGAGAGAGCCTACAAATCATATTAATGATTGTTACTTTTGCATGGTACCTTGTGTTGGACAAGCCACAGGTATGTCCAAGAAAAAAAAATCGGTTATTAACTACCCAAACATACCATCTGCGATGAGACCTGTGCCTCACAGTGACGAAAATCCTATTCAAAAACCCCCAGAATCCTACACTTGCGAATCAAAAAACGAATCAGATCATGGCGATCGAGTGATTCGTCAGGAAGAAGATATGCCATCAACGTCAAGAGATCCTGATTTTATACCGAGCACGTCATGCCACCAACCGCACAAAATAACACAGTCAGAATTAAATGATCTTGTAAGAGATTTAGAACTTCCAAAATGTAAGGCAGAGTTACTTGGATCAAGACTGCAGCAGTGGAACTTGTTAGAAGACGATGTTTCGGTATGTGTTTTTCGTAAACGCCACAAAGACTTAGAACCATTTTTCAATATGAAAAATAACTTGGTTTTCTGCAGTAACATTAACGGCTTACTGGCGGCTTTAAATATAAACTATAACCCAGAAGAATGGAGATTGTTTATAGACAGTTCAACATTGAGTTTAAAGGCAATGTTATTGCATATTGGAAATATTTTACCATCTGTTCCTGTAGGGTATGCAGTTCACATGAAAGAATCATATGACAATATGAAGTACCTATTGACATGCATAAAATACGATGAGCACCAATGGCATATTAGTGGCGATTTGAAAGTTGTTGCACTTTTACTTGGGCTGCAACTAGGCTACACAAAGTTTTGCTGTTTTTTGTGTGAATGGGACAGTCGGGCAAAGGCACTTCATTACACCAGACAAAACTGGCCTGTTCGCCAATTCCTAGAGCCAGATCAAAAAAATTTACAGCATATGCCATTAGTAGATTCGAAAAAAAATTTATTACCACCACTGCATATCAAGTTGGGCCTAATGAAAAACTTTGTCAAGGCATTAGATAGAGATGGGTCAGCTTTTCAATACCTGCGTCAGAAATTTCCAAGACTAAGTGAGGCAAAGGTTAAAGAAGGTATTTTTGTTGGGCCACAGATTCGAAATATTTTGAAAGATACACAGTTTGAAAACACTTTAACAGGTATTGAAAAAACTGCTTGGAATGATTTCCGTCTGGTGGTCACTAATTTCTTGGGAAATAGAAAAGCTGACAACTATAAAACCCTTGTCAAAAATATGCTGTCATTGTATCAAAAGATGGGCTGTAATATGTCTCTTAAGATACATTTCCTACACTCACACCTGGACTTTTTTCCTGACAATTGCGGAGCCGTAAGTGATGAGCACGGCGAACGTTTTCATCAGGATATTTCAACAATGGAAAAAAGGTACCAGGGAAAGTGGAATCCTTCCATGCTTGCAGACTACTGTTGGACTCTAGGTAGAGATGCTCCAGAAACGATCCATAAAAGAACAGCAAAAAGACAGCGCATATAGTGATTCTTATAAGTATATGAATCTTGTTACTTTTTTTAATATATCCTTAAAAATAAAAAGTTTTTTTCTAAACAGCAACTAATTTTTTTATTTCATTGTCATTTTTGGATTCAGCGCCCCAAAATTAACAAAGAAGTGCACTTTTCCCACAAGATACAATTAAAAAACTAAAATTTGTTGCCCAGTGTTATTACATGTTCAATTTGTATATCGATCATACACCTATTGTCCAGATTCCACAAACATCTTTGTTTCGATTGTCTCTTGATCGTGACGGATGCAATCTTTCCAATGGTTTGTCGTCACTCTGTTGCCAGCTTCATAAAACAAATTTTTCACGTCAGAAAATTTGAATTTTCTATTGTTTCAAACCACATCTTTTATATTTACCCAAATCATTTCAACGGGATTCAATTCGCAGTGATGAGGGGGTAGTCTTATTTTCGTTTTTAGCCATTTCGTCAATAACATTAAGATTATATTTATATTTGTGCTGCCTGACTAGATGGATAAATTCTGCTTTGACCATATTTTCGTTGAAACTAATGTCTTTTGATAGGAGCCATTCTTGAATTTTTCCTAGTTTTCTAGTGTGGCATGCAGCATTATCAAGTCGTCAAGTTTGGGAGCGTTTTTTCAAACCATCGTTCAAATGAACTCCCGTCCGTTTCTTTATGGTAGTCGGTCGTTTTCTTTGACTCAAATGCTGATAGGATAGTGGGCACAAAGCCATCTTCACTGCCAATGTGACAGATAACAAATCGTTTTGCTTTTACTTGAAATAATTATTTTAAGTATTCAAGAAAACTAACAATAATACAAGCAGAGTATCTAACAGGTGTTGGTTCCAAGTCTACCAGCGTAACTAAGTTTTCAGCGTGGGCTCATAGATTCAGGTTTGTCTTGCTGATTTAATTGTAGAGTCAG